GGAGGTATAAATCTAATTGTCCCATGGAATGTGTAAGAAAACAACCAGGGGCGGTGCCACTAGGGGATTAGGGTAGTACCAGGTCCATCTTGGCTTCTGTGAAAGGTGTATGAAATCAACCAGTGACTTCAAGTTTTTATTTGCAGAGGTGTGAACCTCATGGAAGAAGATGAAGCAAACAACGTCATTAGGCTGCTTTGGTTTTGAATTTGTTTGACTGTTTAATGAAACGATGAGTTTGGTAGGGGAGTTTTTAGAAGAGACGTGCAATTTCATTTTAAATGAAAAAAACAACCCCACTACTAGTTTGATTCTCTCAGCTAACGATTGCTTTGGTTTTGAATTTGTTTGACTGTTTAATGAAACGATGAGTTTGGTATGGGAGTTTTTAGAAGAGACGTGCAATTTCATTTTAAATGAAAAAAGCAACCCCACTACTAGTTTGATTCTCTCAGCTAACGATACTATACACCCTATAATTTTCTCAAGCAACCCCTCTTTTTCCTTATTTGCAGACCTCTTCCCCTAATCCTTAATTTTCTACTTCTTTGTATTTTCTTTAGCATTCCACAGTCTACCTCTTACTTGGTTATCTAGGTTTGTACATATTTTTCTTCTTAGTATTGAATTTAATAGAGGTTTTCAGTTTTGTGAAGATTACACAAATTGCATATATTAACATGTTATGAATTCAACTTTTACACACATGCATATATATATATATATATATATATTTGTGAAAGGTCTATCCTCACTCAGAATTCTAACTCCATCACTGAAAACAACAGTCCACTCGTTAGTAATTCACCATATACAAATTATAACCATAACTTAGATCATCTCTGGCAAAAAAAATAATAAGAATAATTTAATATATCCTTTGGTCATCTATATATCAAATAAATTGACACTATGAACTCTCTATAGTTCCACGCACACACCTCTTTTCTCCTAATAACACATTATTTATGAAAGATGCATGATGACATTATTATTTCCATTGCAAACGCTCAGTTTAGTGAGAGATATGTTTATCTTTTTTCTCGTGACAATATATATTTAATGTTAAGAGCATTTCACATTTCACTCGAGTTTGAGTTTTACTCCCTATATTATTAATTACTTGTGTAAAAATATTATTTCAAATTAGATAGACTATTGACAGTAATTCCTAATAACAAAGAATAACACTACTTCTATATTTTGTTCTCGCTAGAAGATTTTTATTCCGGAATACGAGTGGTACATCATGTGTCATTATATAAGTGGAGAGAAGTTTTATTTTTTAAGTTGTTAAATTTTTAACACAAGTATCTCAATGACACGTAATGTACCACATCATGTTCCAAGTACACTGAAAAATCTCTCTGTTCTGATCACAATCCCAATAGAGCTATTTTACTTTCCCAAAATCACAGAGAGGGGAGTTAGTGCTTTACCATCTTTGATGACATATTGAACAAAAGAGCTCCATTCAGCATACCCGCCCCCCACTAGGAAATTTTAAGGAGAATAACCTTCGTCAGTGCAGCTAAAAGTTGATGGGTCTCACAAAAAAATAGAACATTGGTTGTCTATTTTAGCCCCTAAACACGATCTCAAATCGAAAGTACTAGATATATTTGATCGTCCATGTCGGGCAAAGTAACCATATGATATGCATGTAGATGTAGTGAGACTTTTAATATGACGAGTCCTAAGAGGTGCACCAAGTGAAAATTATTGACACTCGATCGTATACGTAGGAGTCACAACCACACCATGCACTACGTACCACAACTTTTGGTGATGTTACGTGTCCACTTATCAGTGGACTGCCGTACAACGTGGTCCAAAGTAGAATTAGCAGAGTATGGAAAAGCAAGAAAATGAGAGGATGGCCGGGCTGCGAGCCTACGACTTTGCGGCGTTTGAACCAAAGGCCATTTTTCTCCCCGGAGCTTTTTTGTCAACGATACCAGCACATGTAAGTGCCTCCAGAGGCCTTGGGGGACAACGATGCATGGACTAAAGCTAAGCCAGGCTTAACTAGTCAGTGCTCCAGGAGGATTCAATTAACTTTTGCTAGTGCCTATAGAATTATTCATTTCAGTGACAGCCTCAGAAACCTAAGCCTTGCGTGAATTGTACTTGTTCAACATTTAATAGTGTAGGACATGGATTTTTTTTTTACGAAAATATTTAATTTTAAATTTTAAATTTCAAATCATTTATGACCGGAAGATGTACGATGAACGATCATTATCACGGAATCCTTTGGATCCCTAGAAAAAGTATCCGGCAAGGATCCTTTTCCTTTTTTTACAATGTCAGTTGTTGACTAATAGTTAGATTGATGATTTCACCCTAGCTTCTATAACAGGGTTCAGGTCAAATCACACTTAAAATACACTCGTTGAACATGTCAATAGCATAACATTTTTTTTTTAACAATCTTACATGTTATGTTTTTATATTATCCATTTGAACTATTATTCATAATTTTACTATCTTTTAAAGATTTGAAGATCTCTCGTATATATGAATATATATAACTCTTGGCCATGAAGCTAGCTAGTGTGTTTGTTCTGAATGTGAGAACAAAAAGGTTCCTAGCTAGTTGATTATTAAAACAAAAACAAAATAAAATAAAAACTACACATCGGAGTGAGTTGTCATTCTACTTGAGAATAAAGGAAAGAGATCCTCTCCGGATCTTTCCCTCCAAAGCCTAGGGATCAAGTGATCCAAGTCTTTAAAATTTGATCTAACGGCAAAAAATTATTTTAGCTTTTAAAAGTTTTTGTTAACTTCTCTATTTTTAGCCGTTAGATCAAAATTTTAAAGGTCCGGATCACTTGATTCTTAGCTTTAGAGGGAAAGATCGGGAGAGGCTCTCCTTCCGAGAATGAAGGTCATACTAGTGTCGATGGTAGATCCACATAAGAGACAATGAAAGGCTATTACTCCCTATCAACATTCATGCCAGTCATCACAATACCCTATAGCAGTCTTCATTACAGCTCATTGTTTATGTGATGTTTTCTTTTAAGGTTGGGGGGCAAAAGTTGATTGATAAGATGCCTTATAAAGTAGGGGTGAACATATATTTCCTTGAGAGCCATACTTCATCATGCCTCCACCAAAAAAATTATTTCTGAATTTGCTGTTGAAAGATGAATTATATGGTAATTTAGCAAGATATATAAGACTACTCCGATGATCTGATCTGATAGCGACCACGTCTTATCTCTTTCGAGCAATGAACAATGAACCAGATATATAACAACATTTTCACTATGAAAGCCATGTTTCATTAGAGACCTTTGAAAGAGCTCAAGTTTTGCTATGCGTTTAGACATATAGATTGGATTGAACTGGTGTTGTCAGTAGTAGTTTTCTCTCTGTTTATACGTTAAATCTATTGACATATAGGAACGGAGCAACCCATGCAGCTCGGTGCACATAGGCAGACAGATTAAATTAGACCCATGTGAATCGCGCCATGGCTGGCTGCCTGCATTGCAGGGTTATCATGCAACTTATCGTCGTTTGTCACTGTGGCTACTGTTAGCCAATATCCATGACTGGCCGCTGCATGACATATAATTAAGTTTGCGACAATGAGCAGGACTGATCGACCTTTTCACCATAAAACTCCAAGCTGTGGGCCGGGAAACATCAAATACACGTCCCATCAGACTCACCGCACAATAATTTATAGGGTAGTATATGTTGACAAAATCCATTCAATTTTCCTGTTTCTCTTGTCGTCCAAGATGTTTTTCTGAGATATATGGATAAAGATATAGCGTGGGGAATAGTCCTCTCAAACATTTATTTGGTACGTCTTGTATGTGTCAGACTTTTAACAGTGCCAACTATTAATGAAGTAATTCGTTCTTCCTTCTGTGACATGTGGATGAAAGATGAAGCACCATGTTCGTGGCAGCAGGGATTATTGAAAGTTTCCATGGACAAGTTGCAGTATTGTGAATCATGCATTGCAAACTGCATGCAAAACAGAGCCCTTTAATTCAGCTTCTTCTGCTTATAGATGTGCAAGATCTTGCAGATAGATATAATCGTCTAGAAAGATTTAGCATCCAATTATGTGGAATTAGGGTTTGGCCCATATGATGCAAACTTGTCAACATTTTGGGCTGAATGTGAAATTCATGTGATTAGTTGAAAGAATCTATTTGGGTTGGGTATTTTACAGAAGAGTCCCATGAGATGTAAAAAAAAACTACAGTTAGAAACTTGGAATATCGTACAGACCTTCAGATGAGCAAACATTGAAATATAATGAGCCTTTTTCATCCAAAATAAAGAGAGAAAAAAATTCCAATGGGTTTTAATGCACCAAGAAAATCTAATTGTTTGGTAAAATGAGGCCGAATAACAAATATGTTTTATGAAGAAAAAATGATTGAGGACAAAAAATTGCAGATTACATAAACAGGAAAGAGGTAAAATATCATCTTTGCATTTCTTTTTCCCGGTAAAATTAATCAAACTAAAGAATGAGAGTCTCTTAGGTTCACTTTACTAGTTTTAGTTGCCCGCAGGGCTTTTCTTTTCGTTCAAAATAAAAAATCTTTTTGAACTTGGCGCAATGGAAAAGTTTTTCTTTTGTGATTGAAAGATCATAGATTCGAGTCGTGAAAATAGCCTTTTTGTAAAACAAAGATAAAGCTGTTTACGGTAGACGTCCCTCTCTCAATTCTTGCAAAGCAAGAAATCTTAACTTGGAGTCGGCTCATTAGGTTTTCTTGACCACATTATTACAAACAGAGTAAACTTTAGAACGATGACCGGGCATATAGCTTTACGGCTTAAAACATTTATTCATGATCTTGTTAGAAAAGAATATCATTTCATTAACTAACTGAATAAAGTTACATTATAGTTGTATATATACAACTCATTTACAGCTGTCACCATTAGCTACTCCAACTAACTAATTACACATTTAACCTGATTAACTAATATCAAATATTGAATTACATTTCTAAGTATTAACTAACAGTTTCATTTACATAAGTATCCTTAATATCCCCCCTCAAACTGAGCGGAGGAGATCGAAGGGAGAGTTTGTTGCGGAGAGAATGAAACCGATCCTTAGCAAGGGCCTTGGTACAAATATCTGCAACCTGTTGTTGGGTGCAAATATAGTGAACAGAAACTTCGCGAGCTAAAACCTTTTCACGAATGTAATGGTAATCAAGCTCAACATGCTTGGTACGAGCATGACACAAAGGATTTTTGGCCAGAGACAGAGCAGAGACATTATCACACCACAGGTGGGGAATAGAAGGAGATTGGTAAGCAAGATCCACGAGAAGTTTGCAAATCCAAGTGAGTTCAGCAGCAGTATTGGCGAGAGACCGATACTCAGCCTCCGTGGATGAGCGAGCAACAGTAGGTTGCTTTTTAGCGCTCCAGCTAATCAGAGAAGAGCCAAGAAAAATGCAGAAACCACCAGTAGACTTTCGGTCAAGGGGACAACCTGCCCAATCGGCATCAGAGAATGCAGTAATGGATGGAGAAGAGGAACATTTGGGAAACCATAATCCCAAATCAATAGAACCTTTAAGATACCTGAAGATCCGTTTAACAGCCTGAAAATGGGAATGTCGGGGACTATGCATATATTGGCAGACCAAATTCACAGCAAAAGAGAGATCAGGCCGAGTCCAAGTTAAGTATTGAAGGGCTCCGACAAGGGATCTGTAGGTAACAGCATTGTCCAGTAAAGGAGAGGAATGATCAAGCTTTGATGTACTCAGAGGAGTAGCACAAGGTTTGGCCCCATCCATGTGAGCTTTCTTAAGCAAGTCCAGTATATATTTGGTTTGGGAGATGTAAATGCCCTGGGAAGACCGTTTCACCTCAATGCCAAGAAAATAGTGAAGGGGACCGAGATCCTTGATAGGAAACAGAGAGCTAAGCCGAGTAATGATTTGTTGACAAGCAGAAGGAGATGGGCCAGTGACAATAATGTCATCAACATAGACTAAGACGAACACCATGGGATCAGTCTTGACAAACAAGGAGTGATCGGATTGAGAGCCAGTAAATCCCAAGGAGAGAAGTGCACCATGAAGTTTTTCATACCAAGCTCGAGGAGCTTATTTGAGACCATAGAGTGACTTGCGGAGATGGCAAATGTGATGGGGATGATTAGAGTCTTCAAACCCGGGTGGTTGTTGCATAAACACCTGTTCAGAGAGAGTACCATGCAAGAAAGCATTGCTGACATCAAGCTGATTTAGAAACCAATCAAATTGAGCTGCCAAAGTGAGGAGAATCCGAATTGTGACCGGTTTAGCAACCGGACTAAATGTCTCTGTATAATCCAAGCCGGCCTGTTGGTGGAAGCCTTTGGCAACAAGACGGGCCTTATATCGTTCAACAGTACCATCGGGTTTCCTTTTGATTCGGAAAACCCACTTGCAGCCTACAACATTGGTGGAGGAAGAAGGAGGAACCAAAGTCCAGGTTCCAGTTTGCTGCAGTGCAAGAAACTCATCCTGCATAGCTTTAAGCCAGTGAGGATATTTAGAGGCCTGAAGATATGTAGTAGGAACAAAGTCATGAGAAAGATGAGAGGGTAGAGGATGTTTGGTTGCAGTAAAGGCCTTGGGCTTGTAGATTCCAGATTTAGCTCGGGTCTGCATATGATGGATATTTGTAGGGAGATGAGAAGGGGAAGGTGTATGGGAAAGGGAAGGGGATGGAGAGGCAGTAGGAGGGGAAGAAACCGGAGAAAGCTCTGGAGAAGAAGGACGGGGGATGATAATGGGTTGAGAGAAGGTTAATTGAGTTGGAAGAGAGGGAGGATGAGGAATATGGGATGGTGGAGATGGAGGGGCAAAGATGGGCAGGTGAAAAGGAAAACTGGACTCATCGAAGATGACATGGCGGGACACATAGATCCTTTTAGAAGTAGGATCAAGACATTTGAACCCCTTGTGATTGAGACTGTAACCCAGAAAAACGCAGTGTTTGCTTTTTGGATCCAACTTGGATGAAGAATAAGGCTGCAACCAAGGAAAGCAACTGCAACCAAAGATTTTCAGTGTGTGATGAGAAGGAGATCGGTTGAATAATAATTCCCATGAAGAAGCTTTGGATGTAGTCGGCATTCGATTGATCAAATAAACTGCAGTAGCAAAAGCATAATCCCAATAAAGATGAAGAACATGAGAAACTGTCAACAATGTCCTCGCAGTCTCCACTATATGTCGATGTTTACGCTCAGAGCAACCATTTTGCTCCGGAGTGTGAGGACAACTGAGTTGATGGTGAATGCCATGATCAACAAGAAATTGAGAAAACTGAGAACTCAAATATTCACCACCAGAATCAGATCGCAGAGTTTGAATTTTGAGGCACAACATATTCTCAACATGAGCCTTAAACTTCACAAAAGTACTAAAAACATCAGATTTGTATTGCAAAGGGAAGAACCAACAATATTTGGTAAAGTCATCCACAAAAATGACATAATACTTGTGATGATGAACAGAAGATACAGAGGTTGGCCCCCAAACATCAGTGTGAAGTAATTCTAAAGGTTTACTAGTCCTACTCAGTACCGAAACAAACGGAAGTTTGGAGCTCTTGCTTAAAGCACAACCATTACAGAATGGAAGATGAGAAGGACTAGAAACAGAAATACAAGACGCAAAGGACAACTTATTAATAATCTTGGGAGAGGGGTGACCCAAGCGTTGATGCCAAACATCCCTGGATGCATTTGCCGAAGCAACAAAGGCAAGATGAGAAGCATTCACCAAGGCAGAATTGAGAGGTTGAAACTGATAGAAACCACGATGCACTGGTCCTTTAAAAAGCATCTTCCCCGAAGTAATATCCTTCACAGTGAAGTGAAATGGATAAAGATGCATAGAACACCAATTATCAAGGAGAAATTGATTTGCAGAAAGCAAATTGTGTTTTAAGTCAGGGACATGTAACACATTACGAAGCTGAAAATTGTAATGAGAAGTAGGTAAGTGAGAAGATCCAGAGTGAAGAATTGGCAAACCTTTGCCGTCGCCAATATAAACTTGCTCAGGACCTGTGTAAGGTTCCGAATTTTGGAGATGATTAGCCGAGTTTGTCATATGAGATGTAGCGCCAGAATCCACAATCCAATTTGGAGAGGAAGTGGTTGTACTGGCAACCATAGCAGAGGGAGAATGAGGACCAGAAAATTGGGGATTCATGCGGTGAGGACAAGCAAAGGCTTCATGACCAAATTGTTGACAAATTTGACAAGGAACCTTCTTGCCAGATGAGTAGAAATTTGAGCGACCACGATTATACTTTGGATAGCCTTGGCGATTGAAATTGGGGCGAAAATTATTAGAGCGAAAATTTCCACGACCTTGAAAATTCCGAGAATTAGAGATGGCACCGCGAGCAGAAGAAGAGGTGCGATCCGGGCCACGGCCTTGAGAATTGAAGTCTGGAGCCACCAGAAGAGCTTGAGAGGGAGGCGTGGGAAGAAGGCCAGCAGAAAAATGAAATGCCTGAAAAGGCGAAGACGAAGATGATTTCTTCCGAGTCGTTAATTGAATCTCCTTACTGAGAAGCAGGCCATGAAGTTCATCAATTGTCGTGGAACCAAGGCGAAACTGAATCGCATCAACAAACGAGTCATATTCAGATGGAAGGCCATGAAGAATGACAGAGATGATCTCAGAATCTTCAATCGGAGCGCCGGCACTAGCAAGAGCATCAGCAATTTCTTCAATTTGTTGAAGAAATCGGGCAGCAGAAGAATCGCCCTTAGTTAGGGTTCGAAGACGAGAACGGAGTTCATGAATGTGCAATTGAGAAGCAGTCGCAAGCCGGGATTCCAATTTCGCCCAGAGTTCTCGGGAAGAATTGACTCCAACCGTGTAGGGAATCAGAGAATCAGAAAGTGTAGAGTTGATCCAGATGAGAATGTTTTGATCATTCTCATACCAGGTAACATATGCTGGATTCAGAGTGCGAGATCCAGCAACATCAGTGAGAAATTGAGGCGGTGGAGGAAGCGAGCCATCGACAATGCCTGCAAGGTTGTACCGACGGAAAATGGGAGCGAACAAGGCACTCCAGGTCAAGTAATTCGTCGTGGTCAGCTTGATTGGAACCAGAGAACCAATGTTCTGAATCATGATGGAAGCAGCATGAGAGGCAAAAGAGAGATTAGAGCTGGAATCGACGATCGGAGGAGGAGGATCGTGAGAACCAGCGTTGGAGGGAGAAGCCGAGGTCGCCATGGAAGATTGCAGGAGAAAGTAGGGTTTCGGATGCAAGAAGCTTCAAGAAAATGGAAGCTTAGCAACGAAGAGTCGCAAAAAGCGTAGGGACGAAGGAAAAAGGATCAAGTCGTTAGACAGAGGCGAGTGATACCATGTTAGAAAAGAATATCATTTCATTTACTAACTGAATAAAGTTACATTATAGTTGTATATATACAACTCATTTACAGCTGTCACCATTAGCTACTCCAACTAACTAATTACACATTTAACCTGATTAACTAATATCAAATATTGAATTACATTTCTAAGTATTAACTAACAGTTTCATTTACATAAGTATCCTTAATAGATCTCAGGTTTAAAAATTGCCCTAACCGGCCTAATGTTGTTTAATAAAGGAAAAAAAAATACCTTCAGAACCATGAAGAAACATTTTTTTCGAATATATAGTTCTTGCTGGACAATTAATCACGTTTGGTACTGATGTCTTGTTTCACAATAGTGGACGATCACTCATAATCTGTGGTTGACAATTGACAGATTGAAGAAAACTCATCGTATAAAATTGGGCAACCTAATAGGTTTGGGTTCGCATTTTTGAAACTCATTGCCACCCAAGAAATGGCCAAACAAAAGCCACTCAAATCATTCTTAAGTGAGTTGGGTTGAGTAGGTTTTACAGAATTTGTAAACACTCAAAGTTGGGAGGTCAACACAAGACCAATACAAACAATCCTTGGTGGGCTCGAAATATAAAGAAATTATGGATAACATAATTTAAGTAGTTCACCCTTAAAAATGGGTTACGTCTATTGTGGTAGTCTACCATATAATTGAAGCGTATTATAGTAGCTCTCAAACCAATGTAATATAAATTTACTCTTGTGCATATGGCCGCTTTTAAGGTATACTTGTCCCCTTTTATATAGGTTATGAGTCAGCCTTAAAGTCTTGAGCTCTCAAGTTTCTTGACGTCCTATCATTAAATGGATCGAACACGTCGACCTGACCTATAAGTTATATCCACTGTTCATTCAACACGTGGACAATAAGTGACATTGTAAATGTCTCTAATTAATTAATAACTAAAATACCATAAATATGATATTTGTAACATAATTCAACGCTTACCATCACTAATAGAAGGCACTTTAGTGCAGTCCATTAGACCATCTCCAACTCTGGGCTAAAAGACAAATTACTCCCCAAATTACCCTCCCAAACACTCTCAATCCATGCTAAAATTTTAGGCTAAATGCCAAATGCTATTTCTGGGCCAAATACCCCCCAGCTTTCCCCCCGGGCTAAATGCGAAATGTTTATAGGAATTTAAATTTTTTTAGATTAAAATGTTCATAAAATTAATTTACAATAATCTACATATTTATTTATTTTTTTTTAAATTGATTTAAGAAAAAAATTTAGGCTAATTTCATTCTTTAATAATTCCGGGCTAAAATTTTAGGGTAGAAGGGTTGGAGCAGAAAAGATGTTTCTGGGCTAAAAGCTAAATTTTCCGGGCTAAAAAATTTGGCTTTTAGCCCAAGGGTTGGAGATGGTCTTACGGTCGGTATCCTATAAGTAGTGCAGTTAGCAGCAAATTTTGTTCTTATAGTTTACCTTGAATTATGAATAAATGTATTTTTGTTTAACTTTTCATTGTTATTTTCGTTTAGATTTTTGTAGTTATGTTTACATCATTGATTCTATGGGAAAATTTTATGGTTCTGCCACTGGATTCAAGTACTGCTTTAGTACGATCAAAGGAA